GAAAAAACATAGCTTCATTCTTAGAGGACTGGTGAGCAATCTTATGGTTGCCACGAAGGTACCATTCTAATTGTTGTGGATGTAAAGACAATCGGCAGAACCATCCTTTGGTGGAGATGCTTGCGTGACCACTGTCGGGGAACCAGATATTGGTGGGCAAGCACATTACCGCCTGGAAGCTCTCCTGACAGACTCCAAATGTTTGACCGTAGCTGGGAGCTCTAAAGCCTCCAAAGGAAAGATCAATCTCCCTCTGACTCCACCAAAAACAAGCTGGTGTCGTACCCTTTCTCTGTTCGAAAAGCTCTAAAATTAATGATGATATTAATAATACAAGTAAACAAAGCCACAGAGGATTTAAGAAGAGAAGCCATTAGCTTCTTTCACAACCGCCTTCTATTCCGTCCAATACCACTCCTTCTCCCTCAAAGCTTTGTTCCAAGTTAATTGACAAAATTCTCTTCCATAATGCATGTGATTAATCCGAAACTTCTTTCTCTTTCTCGAATTAGCTTCAAGGAAAACAAATTGTAAGGCAAGCAGCTGCAACACAAAAGCCGCAGTGTACCACTTGACATGTTACCATTCCCCTGTTCTTATTCTCGCAATCACCACCAGCGGGATAAGTATTCAAAGAACAGAAGAATAAAATTGAATAATAAAATGAGAGAAGTCCTCAATCTCGCTGCAATGGCGTTTTAGTAATGGTGGTAGCTGAGGCTTGCGAGATGGGTTCGACTTCTTACTCTTTCTTTTCGATTTCATATCACCCACCACACGCATAAAAGCTTTTCCCTTATGCAGGTGGGACTCATGGAAGAGAACAGTTAATTGTTCAGTAATAATTAAATGGACAAAAGCACTAATTGAACAAGAGATGGGATTGAGGGCACCATATTACTGTACGGAAATAGGGCAAACAATTAATCCCTTCCACCGCCATGGTCTCGATTACGATTTCCCAGCGTGGATTCTTCCTTCACTCGGGTCGGATGTGGCTACGGAGCGATGGATCGTTCAAGCCATAATCGGCATCCTGTTCGGTACACATGACAACAACCAAACGTTTTAAAATTGTTACAAATCGAACAGGAAAAATTAGGCTACCGATCTGGCTGAGTCGCGGACTAGGTCGCTCTCTTTAAGACGTTCGCGGAACTGCCTCGTTACTCGCACAACAGACTATCAGTTGGTCGCCTCCAGGATAAAATAGCCACTCTTTTGATTTGCTCAACGGTTTTGTGCGAAAACCGAAGCTCTATGAACTCACTCTCTTTCTCGTGTTTCAGATCTATTCATTCCCAACACTTGCAACCTCATAAATTTGGTAATGGTTCCGTGTCATGAAGGAATTCATTTTAACACATACAACGTTATTGGTTCGACCTAAGACCCAATCAACATGGACAAAACCAGGGTCCATGTCGAGACATGTCACTCCATGCGATAATGTCCAACTCGAAATCGGTCAGTCAGTCCAAAGAAATTCATTTTCTTATCCTTCATGTTATCCGACCTGATTCATGTTGGGGCGGGGTAATACCTAATCTACAGTAGCGTGTGGCAGGATATGGCGTATTGCTTTTTACATGTATTGTCCAGTCCCGACCCGTTCATAATTCGCCCTACCTCGATTTATCTCAACATTTATCCTATTTTGATATGCCTAACTCATATTTTCATCCAATGATACTTTAGATATGTGATGATCATTGATGCTTATCTAGTGTACAATTTTCTTATCATCGATGCTTGTGATTCTATAGTATACTACTATATGCATTGTGCTTAGTATCATTTAGGTTGTTCAGAAATTATCCTCTAGTGATACTCCATTGATTTTACACGAGTATAGAGAGAATGATCAACCATCTATATCTCGAGTAGTATCAATACTTGACTGTTAGATCATCGTTGCTATAAACGATAGATAATGACTCAAGAGGCCCACACTTAATCATGTATTATTTTCACTTTTATGTTCTTCATTGATTAGGCGATGACATGAAGTGAAAGCACACATTAGTTAGTCAAGTTCCAATTGCATGTGGCGAAAGCTAGAGTAGGATGAACTTAGTAGAAGGGATAGAGTGATGCTATAGATGAATCGTCAATGCATCATCAAAATCACGCTTTAAAACTTAAAAACTTACGATTTTACGTTTCTAGATCACTAAAACGCTTCTACACACAATCTCAGTTTTTATAACTTATGTAGTTAAAAAATCCGCTTTAAAACTTAAAAACTTACAATTTTACGCTTCTAGATCACCAAAACGTTTCTACGTATAGAAACTCGCTTTTGACTACATTGGATGCATGATATGGATGAGTGTTAATGTATATGTTGAATTCGAGCATGATTTTTTATTCAATAACGTACCTTTACTTTTATGTCTCTATATAACTTGAAAACCCCTTTAACACCATTTAATTTCATTGTTGGATTTACTTGATGCTCATTGTTTCTCCTATTTGAAAGCACGCTAAATGTATTTAATATTCATGTTCAAAGCATGTATGGTATGATGTGAGTAGTTATGCATTAGAAGATCTTGTGGAATACGATCCTAGGGCATCCTAGGATTTACCATTTGCATGTACAATTTAGTCATCAAAGCCCGTGACAAGGATCACAACGTGACTTAGCATTTTTTGCCTGATCTAGAGGCCGCAAACTCACCTCCAACGCCAACCAAAACGAATGTGTTTGAAGAGCGGGGGCTAGGATGGAGGATCACGTTCGCGATCTCACAATCACGATGCCGCAATCTTGTATGTGTCCCTAGCCGCCTATGAATATGAGGAGACCTATTTTTTAGAGGGAGTCAGCATAAAACGAGAAATTAGGGTTACTGGACCATTTTAGAGAGAGGAAACACCTTGAGTGAGCTTAGGAAGGAGGATTTCATCCAAGATTCAAGGAGAAGGGTGCTATCCGAAGAGAAGAAAATGACTTCCAAATGCGTCTAGCTGTGATTTAGATGCATGATTTGTACATTGCTTGAATTAGACCTAGGTCAGTTCTTGTTTATGTATGCTTTTTTTTTTGAAAGACAGACGTCAAACGTCTAGATCACATTAGCAATAACACGTTCATGGGAGATTCCCATTACATCACGATTGATCTATTGGATCACATCCCTATAGCACACATTGATTTGAAGGGATGTGTGCCAAAATCATAATCGTGAGCCTTGCTTGCCAAGAACTCGACAATGAAATTGGCTTCCCTATACACATGGGACACTCTAACCTTCCATTGTGGATCAAATTTGCGGATAAGATGATCATCTGATCCCCTTCCAATTAGGAACCTACCTAGTTGATGCTAGTGAGGTCAGAGGCGAGTGTGTGACCATCGACTCACCAGACTAGTGTGAGGACGGGTAGAACTCGTTTAGAGGATGTAGACCTTACATCTAGTCAGAGATGTTGATTGTGGTGACAATGGACCGACGAATGCGACTATAAGGGGGACCAAGAGACATGACTATTGGTAGTGGTTTGCGTAGTTATAGTAGTTTTTTTAAGTTTTTAGTAATTTTTTATAACTTATGGTAGTGATTCTTATTAAAAATCATCAATCAGTACAAATTAAAATTTGTTAAATCAGCTATCAACATCATCCATCAATATTAATTAAAAATTCTTAAATCACTACTACTGACAATAAAATCACTACTATCCGCCAAAATCATAGTAGAAATGAAATTATAAGTAATTTGCTATAGAAAATGGCTACTAAAAAGAATATAGAGAAAAGAGATTTTAGACTTTCATTAATGTATTTTAATTTTTTTAAATACCAAACATGCCCTTCATTAATCATTACCAACCACCGTCAAATTCAACTTAAAGAATAGAAAGTAGCATCCAACACTTTTTCGACCAAGATATTATCCTCCATGGGCCACTGACAGAACGAGAAGATTGAAACATCAAACATGTGTCCTTTTATATGGTATTCATATATGAACAAATATTTTAAAAATTAATATTCAAATTATTCATTGACGAAATAATCGACTATTACAAGTTTTCTTTGCATAAAAACTGTGACGTGTTACCATAGTCGAAAAGAATTATTAAAAACATTATTTGTTTATATTATTAAGTAATGTAAAACTAAAAAAATTATTATATAAAAAACTTCTCATATTACGTAAATGTCTAGTATTCTAGTTCTATATATACACCTATTTGGGGTTATGATTTTTCTCCAAATTTTAGGTGTGTGTCGTGACAACCCCAAATAAATGTTTACTTCGCCACTGATTTGGGTCTCCCCACATGGTTTTGCTTTTGGATAGGGGCTGCAATGATCTTGTCCATAGCGGACCGCATCGTATCAAATAGTAGTTGGATCGGACAACATCGAGTATTATGCAGTCTGGTTATTGGTCCAAATGAATTTTACAATTACTGAAGAAATGATGAACCGAATTGATATTTGGACCGGATCAAACCAAATCGAATGCAAATATGCAATGATGGCCAAGTACGGGCCCATTAATCATTGCCCGTTTGGGCCTCTATTATCCATCAATTATGAGCACTACCTGCCAATTATACGGCCCACGGCAAAAAGAAATTGGCCGGCCCTAGCTCCCCTCAGTTGAAAATAAAAGCCCGCCCTCTTCTGTTATTCAGTGGGTACTCGAGAGTCGAGAGTCGAGACTGTACTGTTGGGTTCAAGGCAACGACAAAATCGAAAATCCTGAATAATTGTTTCCCCAATTAATTAATCGCACATTTTGTATGAAAATTAATTAAGATTTCACAGCTCGAATTATATGCCACCTAAATCCACTCGATAAGGAAAATTCTAGTTAAATAATTTTCTGATTTTCTCAATCTACTTGAATTGAATTAAGCTAATTACAATTATCCCTACTAATTATTAGAAAAAGAATCCCACTAGGAAGCTTCTTTTAATCTTTTTTTCATACTGGGCACTGAGCAGCAGCGACAACAACCGCTTTTCCTTTTTCACTATTGCGCTTTCCCTTTTCTCCTCCCCCTCTCAACTTTTCTTCCCTGATCTTTCTCCGGCTAATCAGAGTGAGCCTGGAAAAAAAGAAAATCGTCCTCGTTCTTTCATTTCATTTTCTCCGCGCCGGATCACAATTCCGCTAAACGAGGAGAAATGGGGAGCGTTTCGTCGGAGGACGACGGCGAGCGGTTCGAGCTCGACGGGTACAGCTTGAGCGCCGACGTCAGCGAGTCGGAGAGCAGTTCCAGCTGCGTTTCGTCGTCTTCGTTTCGGCATTGCGGCGGCGGCGGCAGAGGAGGAGGAGGAGAAGGAAGAGGTTCCGCTTCTTTCCTCACGTCTTCCTGTTCCCTTGCTCCACCACTCCATGACGCGACTGAGTTGGACGACGAGTTGCAGGCGCCGCCGGTCACACTGATGCCGCCGGTGATCGGCGGGAGGCACGTTGTGATTCCGCCGAAGAAGGGTGCGAAACCGGAGTCGGAATTGTCTGGTTAGTCTTTCTTCCGCGAGCTCTCTGAATTCTAACTTTTGGCGCCGTTTTTGTAGGGAGACCTAACGGCTTTGCTTCTTTTGCTTTTCCTCTTTCGGTCAATTGTGGAATTGTGGATTCTATTTCTGGTTAGAAAGCCCTTTGTATGGACTGTGTGTGATTATTGAGCAAAGCGTTTCTAAGGGTTACATTTTCCTTCGATAGTTCGATTAGCTTCTGTTTGGTATCTCAGGAATTTAAGCGAACAGGTGGAGGACAATTATTTTGCTCTAACGACTGTGCTTAATGCAGATTGTTCATGATTGAACTAGAAACCCTTTCAGTCTGCTTGTCATGATGCTATTACCAATTCTGCTTTCGCAGAAACTGAACTAATGAAGGAGAGATTTGCCAAGCTTCTGCTCGGAGAAGACATGTCAGGTGGAGGAAATGGAGTTTGCACTGCTCTGGCTATCTCCAATGCCATCACCAATCTCTCTGGTTTGTTCCCTTTTGGAAGTTTATCGACATGAGTTCAATTTAGTAGATGGGTGGCTAGGATTTATGTTGATCTATTATGCTGGCCTGTGTTCTGCAGCTTCTGTGTTCAGCCAACTGTGGAAGTTGGAACCATTATCACCTCAAAAGAAGGCAATCTGGCATCGAGAGATGGAATGGTTCTTATCTGTAAGCGATTTCATTGTGGAGCTAGTTCCATCGGTCCAGAATTTCCCCGGCGGGGGAACCTTTGACATCATGGTGCCACAGCCACGGTCAGACCTTTTTGTCAATGTCCCAGCTCTGAAGAAGCTCGACACCATGCTGCTCAATATTCTAGATGGTTTCTCTAATTCTGAGTTCTGTTACGTGGAGCGTGGAATTGTGATTTCTGGAGATGATGACACCAAGAACTTCATGCTGTCCTTGACTTCTGGGTCAGAGACGTCGTCGGTGAGGCTGGGAGAGAAATGGTGGCTGCCGTTTCCTAAAGTTCCTCAAAAGGGATTGTCTGAGAATGCCAGGAAGAAGTTGCAGCAGTGTAGGGAATGCACCAGTCAGATTCTTAAAGCTGCCATGGCTATTAACAGCAATGTGCTTGCTGAGATGGAAATCCCAAATGCTTACTTGGACAGCCTGCCCAAGGTAATAATGCAAAACTCTGTCTCTTCCATATAAATTAGTGGGTACATTCGCTGCCATTGATTCTTTGGTGGTGGGTGGTTGATTCTTGAAATAAAATATATTTTGAGATACATAGATGGTGACTGTTTAAATGAATATGATAGTTTCTCCTAATAATGCTTAACGTACTAGCATTCTAATCATAGTCTTTCATAATAAGGGCAAATTAACTATAGAAATTAATCATTGACAATATGGTCATAAAGGCTACTGGATTTGAATGTATCACTTCCCATCCACTACATTTCCAAACCCTAACCCGCATTCTCTATCCTCTTCAATCTCTGTAATTTGATTTTCAAGGGTTTTCTTTCTTTTTACCCTTATTCTTTGTGTATCTGCTGTCAGAGCGCGAAATCTTGTTTAGGAGAGACGTTACATGGTTACCTAGCTGCCGACAAGTTCTCTCCTGATGGCTTCCTGGATCACTTAGATTCGTCCTCAGAATTCACCAGTCTGGAAGTAGCTAACCAGATTGAAGCAGCTGCTCATATATGGAACCAGAAATACATCAGAAAGTACATGGCTGGAGGAGGGAGGTCGACATCATCATCGTCATCATGGGGTGGCAAAAAACTTAAAAGCACTGCTACTCCCAAATGCAAGATCCTGGCAACACGGGCTGAGAACGTCTTGCACAACTTACGCCTACGGTTCCCTGGCCTCCCACAGACCTCGTTGGACATGAGCAAGATTCAACATAACAGGGTATGTGATATTGACCATTCAATAAATTATCCTCCTGTTGCGCTGTTTCATCAGTATACGTGAACGTGCTTTGATTGTACACAGTACACATATACATGTGCTTTATATGTACGAAGTAAATACACTCACTGATGTATATGCATACTTAGATACCTGATACTCTGACTGGATATGTGTACAAAGTTGGTTTACTTTCACAGCCTTATGTAGATAAGTATAGATAAACCCGAAATAGTTAAGATAGAATTGAGCGTGATGCTCACTACTTGCCGTTCACAAATGCTCACCCACAATTTGTTTTTCTCTCTTTTTGCAGGATGTAGGGCGCGCCATCATCGAGAGCTACTCGAGGGTGATGGAGAGCCTAGCATTCAACATCATGGCGAGAATCGAAGACCTTCTATACGTCGACGACGCCACAAAGCAACGTGCATCAGCAGAGTCCCTGTACACAGCACAAGGCAGGCTGAGCTGTTCATTTGCCAAACAAAGGTGGATATCCCCCATCGCCCCTTTTTCTTTCGACCATTCCGGTGAGTTAGTCAGTTGTCATCATCATCACAACGGAACCATGCCGCAGTCTCCAAGGAATAGCCACACTAGGGAAAGGGAACCTCTAGATCAAAGCTCTAGATAAGCTGGCTTTCTGAGAAAATGGGGCCCAGACTGCCATTTACCTCCAGCACATGGTATAAATTGACAGAGTTCATGGATCTGTACATATCTAACGTTTTATAGTAGTTGAAAAATTGGGAGTCGTTTGGTTATTTAGGGGCAGGGAGGCATGGCAGTGGCTGGCGGGAAGTCGTACGTTGTATTTATAGAGGAATAGGTAGTTGATTGAGGGTCTGTTTTTATTCGAATTCTGATTAGAGATGATTACCTGTGTGGGTTCGTTGTAGACTTGTGGGAGCTGAAAGGTGCTGAAGTTGTAATGATCACAGTGATGGTGGGCGTCAGATTTCTCTCTTTGTCGCTGTCAAGCAGAGTGGACCACCAGAATAAGTAACTCGGATTCCACAAGGATCTGTGCAGAGGACGAGAATCGAGAGCTGTAAAATTGGATATCTATTGGGAGTTGCTATTTAAATGTGGTGGAATTTGCCTTGCTGTAAAATTAACTAGTATCAATACCCGCGGCGTTGTGTATTGTGGGAAGAAATGAGGAATAACAACCTGAATGTGGATGATGATTTTGATTTGTAATTTGTGGGAACTTTGAATCTAGATTCCAGTTCTTTCACGTCTTCAATTTATGTAGAAACTGAAGAACAGCAAGATAAAGCTATCCCATCAGTTGTTGATATTGTCTTTACCTTCCAATTGAACTTGTAGGCAAAACTTTTAGTTCACATTCTAGTTCACATTCTACTGATAAAGCAAAAACTTCAACAGGTTGGTCTTTGCTATAATTATAAACAATGTCTTTACCATCCAACTGAACCCGTTCTTGTTCACACCAGTTTCTTTATGTTATTTCTTGTTCTTATCATCCTTTACCATATGAGTACTTCACTTCTACGCCTCCTCACATAACAACACAACAGAAGGTAAAATAAAATGACTATGTAGGAGAATCGAGTTTCTCGAATCTAGCAGTAGCACTGCAGTTCCCAGATGGTTGTGTAGTGAATGAATTACCTTCCGAAGAAATGACGTTGTAGCAGCAGCAACAAAAGCATGCTTATATTACAGGTCCCGACCTGTAAAAGCAAATGATGGTAAATATAATTAGTTTATATGTAATCTGAAAGGTCTAGAGATGAGAGATCACAAATCCATTTGGAAAAGGTTGTGAAGCACTGAACGACAGAGAGATCCTGCAACTCCTCTCGGACCTCGTACCAAGCAGCAATGATAGTGATTTTGTTTAACTAAAACAAACAATAGATAAGGCAAGCACACTACGTCTCATAGAATGTGAATACTAAATGAATCATTGACCATATCAAGAAAATCAATAAAAGAAAGAGAATCACTGAGCATATCAAGAAAATCAGTAAAGAAGAAAGCACCTTTCAATCCATCTCGGAAGAAAAGAAGATTAACACCTTTCAAGCCATTCTTGTTCCCGGTCTCTTGGAACTAATCTGAACACTTCTTGCCTGCAATTTCCTCTGTAATTTGACATCTTCATCACCAATAATCTCGTCCAATTTCAACAGCTCATTCATCAACAACTCGTTCAAGCTAAAAACTTTCTTTTCTGCTACCTTCCCACCATATACTAATCACTTATTCAAGAGTCTGAAATCTATATAAGAAAGCAACCAAGTTGGACATTCCATCACTAATGATCCTCCAATTCAGCAGCTCATTCATCAACAACTCGTTAAAGCTCAAAACTTCCTTTCCTGCTACCTTCCCACATATACTAATCACTGATTCAAGTCGAAATCTATAAGAAAGCCATCGGTTTCTGGTCTTGATAGTGTAGGACAGTTGTTCCGGTCAACATCTTCAGGCCCCTGTTTTGTTACACTGAAGTCAGAAAAAAAGACCCAAATCGAAATTGAAAAGAGGGTAGAGGGGAAGAAAAGAGAAGGTGCAGCCTTCACTTACAGAATGAGGCTTGAGAGCTGATGTTGAGCTGTAGAACCCAGGCTGCTGCTGCCATCAAAAGTACAATCTTGCTGTTGTTGCCTTTCCCTCGGCATGTCGCCCCTTTTTGTACATCTCTATCTGTCCCGCACCGAAGGTCAGCAACCAATTGCGCCCACAACTGAATCCATCAAATAGCCATCAGACCATTGAAGACTCTGGCGGCGAAGATATGGAAAAGAGAGGAAACAAAAGTCCATGAAAGCAAAACGGGATACGACCGTATGAAGTGAAACCCGTATAGATCCCGATATCTTCGCCACCGTCTACGTTTTTCTCCTCGTTGTGACCTTCCACATCAGAGCTTCTATTTCTGAATCTCGAGGAGGGAGAGTGGAGTGCTGCCAGAGAAACGAACTGGTGGCATCTCCAGCATCATCATCATCTCTGTCATCGTCGCGGTCATTTTCTCGTCATCATTGTCATCTTTGTCGGAGCCATCCATAGGGAAATCTGCATTTGGGAGATCGGGATCGCTCATGCTTGGCCATCTACACCGACAACAAAGCTCCTCTTGAGGAAGACGGGAACTGGGAGGGAGATAGGTGGCGCCGCAATGGTGTAGAGCAGCATTCAAGTCCCGATCCGGGAGAGTGGAGTGTCGCCGGATCCAACTACAGGTGGACTATTGAAGGTTGTCTCCGACTGCTTCGATGGTCGTATCATGGACCTCGCCGTTCCCCCACCTCGATGGCGCTCCATATGAGGCGGAGAGCATGAAAAAAAAGCAGAAGTCTCTTTTTTGGATGAATGGGTGGAAGAAGAGGTTTGGCAACAAAAGCAACATACATCTTCTTTTAATTCAGAGAAGTAAGGTGAGTACTGTGGAAATCATGATCAGTGGCGTGTAGGAGCAGTTGCAAAAGGACGGAGAATGGATAGTGGACACAAAAAGTATGGACACCCTGCAATAGGAGCAGTTGTGAGAGGACGGAGATGGGATAGAGGACACAGACAGTATGGGCACCCTGCAATTGTTGAGACCACACAGCAGCACAGGAAAGGGGAAGCTCTTTTCAAATCGTTTGGGCAACACATTCGGATGAATAAGCTCTTTCAATCCCAGCCCACAAGACGCCAAAGAATGAAACAGTAGTATAGATGTTAGGCCAATAAAGTGTACCCAGCTTTCATGTTCTATATAATAATAATATATAATTGCGTGAATGAATTTGGTACTGTACTAGTTTGGTGGTCACATGAAGGCTAGGGCATGGTATGGCTTGATTCAATTTAGAATCTTATTGAATAGCTAAAAAAAAATAGGTCATTTGGATGAGGAATTCCAATGGATCAATCTGTGCCAGATTGATCCGTTTGGCAGCAGAAAATATGGATGGAGCAATTTGGCTGGGGAATTCTGAATTGTCTCATTTTGAGCCAATTAGAATTGTCTAGGGTGGGGGCAGGTAATCTGAATTGACTCGTTTTATAAAATGAAACAATTGGTCAAATTGTCTCGTTTTACAATTGTTCCATCCAAGCGACCCCCTGGTGTTTGTGAAAGTATAGTTGGTATGACCGGAAAAACTTTATGACAAGTTTAAATCGGTAGCTAGCTTTAGCGGTATGAAACGATTGAACAATGATCGAAACTATTTGAACAATTGTTAAATCTCAAATGAGTTAATACCTCATTTTGACCTGAATTATACCCAAACTTTCTACTTTGGTTTATGGTTTCTGAAATTACTCTTACGGAGGCATTGGAAATGGAGGGTGTCCCTCTCCTCTTATGGCCATGGTTTGAGTGTTTTACTACTTGGGCTAAGCAAACAAGTACATATTATGCACTGGGCCTAAAGACTAGAGGTGGCCCAACTTAATCAAGCCCGTAACTCAAGACCAGTTTGAATTGGGCTCAATAAAATCAGTGACTCTCTCGGCTACACCTGGCTGGCACAGCCGCTGCCGTGCATTCGGATTCACAAACAGTTGTTGGATTTCTGACTGTAGTGTGTAGACTGTCACATTCTACACCAGAAATGTTAAGAAACAAGGCATTTACGCATTACCGGAAATATGGTTACTGATGCAATGGTAGATCTTCGCCATTAATGTCCGTCGAAGAGCTCCTATGACCTTATTCTATAATTTCATTTTACAATTGTGCCAAAAACAATTTAAAAAAAAACAAATATAGGAAGCCACTTTGGTCTTTTTCCCTTCCTGACTCAGCATGTATCATTATTCAAGCCTAAGTTAGTACACTTCTTTGAATCCTGCAATGCTTCAGAATCCTTGTTTTTATCCTCTCATAGATTAATATATAAAAGTTTAACATTGGAGTTACCATTTATTAGTGGTTCTCAAACTCCTACAAGTGCAAGTGGGGAAGTTTCAAGTTCCTCTTTTACCTCACTCTCTCATTCTATAACCTTAAACTATGTGTTCATCTATTGTCCGTCACATCTACATCTATTGCCCATTAGATTTTCCATTGTAGTTATTGTCTATTAATTAGGTTTTTGTCTATGATCTTCTGCCCAAATCATCGCCTTGGACCACCAATTTGCAACTCATCTCGAAACACTATCGACGAAATCAATGAATAATAGATGTCATGATCACCTACCGAAGATCCATAACATATCTACTATGCATAATTCTCTCCATCATCCACTAATTCACAACCCTTCTCCAAATATTGTTGGTGGACTGGAATCTTAATTTGTACTCATCCATTGTGTCCCAAGACTACTACTGAAAAATTAATACTAAATTTGCTCTGTGTTGTCGAGTTTTGTATCGAGATCGAGTTTCATATTCTTTAATATTTTCTTATTCCTCTTTTTCCTCTTTTTCCTTTTGGTTAAGCATGACAATTCAACTCAAACTCATGGGTGTCCAACCTAATTCGATCAGGTCAAAGTGAGTTGAACTCGACATTAATATTTTAAAATTTTAATTTTTTTCTTTTGTTAAGAATGACAATTGAACTCAAACTCATGGTATAAACGCGTTTTGAATCGAGAGAGAGTTTTAGCCGCTTTTGTAGTTTGCAAGATAGGTCGAGTGTGAATTTGTTAAGAACTCGATTCGATCGGGTCAAGGCGAGCTAAACGCGGTGTTGATGAGTTTTAGATCGAGAGTGAGTTTTGTCCGCTTTAATATTTTTTTTTATTTCTCCTTCTCCGCTAACGAGTTTTGTATCAAGAGTGTGTTTTATTTGCTTTTAGAATTGGCATGTTGAGTCGAGTGTGAATTGTTAAAAACTCAGTTTGAACTAGTCAAGGCGAGTTGAGCTCGGTGTGCAGAGTTTTTGGTAGGGAACGAGTTTTTATCTGTTTTAGTGTTTTTATTTGTCTTTTTCCTTTTGGTTGATCACTCAAACCTACAGGTATCCAACCTATTCAACCTTATCAAAACAACTTGAACCTGGTGTTAACAAGTTTTCAGGCGGATGTGAGTTTTATATTCTTTTGTAATTGACGGCTCTTGCAGTTTTGGAAAAAATGGGTTTTAACTTGGTCTGGCGTGGATGGATTCATGAATGCTTACAGTCAACAACGTTCTCGGTCCTCATGAACGGATCTCCGTCTGGTTTCTTTGCG